GTATAGATTAATTTGGTATAAATATCTCATTTTTGAATCTGAGGGTCGAAACCCACTTTTTCCTAGAACAGCCCCCATATCATATCTTGAGTAGCAGTTAGGGTTTCTATTCAAATAAGGTTTACTTGAATAAAACAAATAATTCGAGTAATAATAATTTGAATAATGCAAAATAAAACAAATAAAACGAATAAACAAATAAAACAAATAAAACAAATAAAACAAATAAAACGAAATAAAACGAATAAAAGTGAATAAAAGTGAATAAAACGAAATAAAACGAATAAAAGCGAATAAAACGAATAAAACGAATAAAACGAATAAAACGATGAAAACAAATAAAACGAATAAAACGAATTAGGGATGTCCACCAAAACTATATATTTCAAGCTACCGAAACACTTTCAGTAAAATTTTCGGTTTCAGTTCAAAAACCGAAAGTCAAAATCTCATCTGAAAATCAAAACCTAAACCGAAAGTCAAAACCTAAACCGAAAACATTATATTACTACTTTTTTTCTGTATACCATAATTTTTCTTAAATCATATATATACATTATAATCTGTAAAAAATTGGAGGGGCGGAAGGGGGCGGGTCTCACGTTACACTACATATGTGTGACTAAAAAAAATATGTGCAGAAAAAAATTTTTTTTAACATTGTTTTATTAGGCTTTACATTTTAAATATTACCCAAGAAAATATAATTTAATATTGTTTTGAATTAAGTATTTTGAGATGACTTCCTAACATAACTAATGATGTTTCTTTAATAATAATATCTTTTTTTGTAATTTTAATATTGTGCTTTGAACAATTATAATTATTATAAATAAATGTAATTTTTACTATATAGTTACAAAAAAAAAATTAAATTTTATTATTATTATCATTTAAAAATGTCAAATAAAGAAATTTTTAACTCTAAAAAAAATAAAATGCCTGAAATTATTGAATTATCAGATGATGAAATGAATAATTATGATGAAATTAGAGAATTAGAAAAAATATTGATAAAGATTGGTTCAGCAAATATGCATGGTTAGAATCTGAAGAAAATAATCAAAAAAATGCAAACTTTGTAGAAATAGAAATGGTACTCTGTAAAAATATACCTTCAATTTTACAAAAATACTGAATTGGAATTTATTCAAATACATTTTGGATAATGATGAAACTTTTTCTTTTAATTATCCAATAATAACAACTATTCTTAAAATCACACTCATTATACCTCTTTATAATGCTCATTTGGAAAGGATACTCTCACAACAAAATTTAATAAAAAGTAAATTAAGAAATAAAATGAATATTGATACTTTAAATAATCATTTGATGGTACTATTAAATGGCCAGAAATAGAAAATTTTGATTTTGAAAAAGTATATGAACATTGTGTAAACAAAAAACCAAGAAAGAGTAGTTATGAATCTTAATTTTGCAGTAAAATTTAATTATTCTGTATTTATTATTATTATTGTATATATTATTCAAATTAAAATCTTTGTGTAATCAAATTTTAAATATGCGCAATTATAATGTTACACAGCAAAATTTATACACTGGTTCATAGTTTTTTATGCAAACAATTTCCTTATTTGCATTTCTTTGGTCAAGATTGACAAGTTTTTTCATAATGAACTGAACACAAACCTTCCATCCAAACTTAACTTAATGTTAATTAAAAAACAAATAAATATAATGTAAACAATATAATCTAATATTAATTAGTAAATTTACTTTAGAATAGACCAAAAAATTAATTCCTTAATAATTGATTTTTTCAATAAAGTAATAACCATTTGTTTTTGTTGCATTGGTTAAAGCACTTCTAAAAAATGGACAATGAACCATTTTTTAAAAAAATAATTTCTTGTTTTCCACTAAGGAAATAACTTTCCTGTATTATATATATTAATTGAAAAACATAAAACTGAACCAAAACTTTCAAAAGACTATTAAAACAAGAAGCAAGCTCAAATACTAGTCATTCTATGACAGGCTGAAAGTATTGGTTTACTTGACACTTATCTCAAGATTATCATCATACAACCAGAAGGTAGAATGAAGCAAACTTGATATAGATACATGTATTAATTAGTCATGTTTTATAAGAACTCTTTAAGGTTAGATTAGGAAAACTTGGATTAAAACAGGTGCGTGCATATATCATTTATTCTAAACGCGTATACATACATGTAAATATATATAATTAATTATAAATTATTGTGAATCAAGGATATAATTCAAGCTAATAAACTTATTGAAGATGCAAAAAATTATTATACCGAGGATGATTTGAATCGTTTTTCTAGTATGTAAAAGGATTTTTTCTTATAAATGACTTTTATCTAATTAGTTATTCAAGTGATTGATACCCAATTAATTAATTTACTATTAGAGATACATGATTCTCTTTTACATACTCATCAATGGCAACCTGTTGAATTAAAGAAAGATCTTGTTATTATGAATTGCAAGAATTTGGAAGTGAAATTAAACTTTGACATAAATGAGAACAAAATATTATCTCTGGAATTATCAAATTTAATTAGTAATGATATGAACAATGAAGAGAAGAAATATTGTAATCTGTTAATATTAGGATTACAAAAGATGATATCAAGGAATATAGCAAAATCTTTACAACAAATCAATGAGGTGTCAAGGATCTTGCAAGAAATTAAAACTTATTGGAATAATGTGTACCAAATTTATCAAGAAATATTTATCTTAAGGCTAAAATTTCCAACTGAAATACTTGTAATTTCTAATAGAGATGATAATAACAACAGGGGCAGAGATGAAAGTAATAATAATATTAATAAGAATAATGATGATAATGATAGTGACAATGAACCTACATTATGTTTGCAAGTACTTTTTTTTAATTATAAAAAAAAAACAAAATTTTATATAAATTATTATTTGTGTACAGATGATGTGATGAATTATCCACTATGGGAAAATATAAAATATAATGTTGAGCTTTGCTATGGAGGTGTAAAGTAAGTGAAAAATCAAATTTATTAATTTATTTTTGGTGAAATTAAATTAATATGATTATATGACTAATATATATAGTGAAGTCATGATACTTGATATAATCAAATCACAATTTTCAATGAATAAAATTGGATGTATCAAAGAAGCATGCATTAAAATTGAAAATTTTATTAAATCTGATACCTATGATGAATGAATTTATTACTCATAATTAGATTGAGAGGAGGAAGGATAAATAAAAATATTTTAGATAACTTTTTTTTTTTTTTGTAAATAGACTAAATAATGATATTATCATTATCATTTAATTATGAATACACCTATTTTAATATCTTTGAAAATATTTCAATCAAACAAAATACAGAATTACATTCTGTATTTTCTTTTCAGTAAAACTTATATAATAATAACATTATGGGGTGTGCTGTAACAAAACTAAAGTAGGTTTTCTTTTTTTAAGCCAAAATCTGTTTTATCCAAGTCTGAAATTTTTGGTTACCTGGTTGTTTCTTCAGATAATGGTGGCTAATTAAATAATTTGTCAAAGGCAACATTCATGTTCTTTGAGTGAGTAGAGTAATTTATTAATATATAATAATAAAGAAAAAAATTTAGCCGAATTTTTTAATTAATATTGAGATAATAAAATATAATAAATAAAAATACGAATATTAAAGTGAAAGCGGTTAGGTCACATGTCCAACATATGACTTTAGACACAAAATTGCTCTAGCTGTCTGTGGTTCCAATCTGTTCCTTGTGATGAGATTGTTTGTCCTGCAATAGAAAAAACTTGTTCCGAAGCAACATCTGTTGTTGCTTGAGAATATAGATAGTCATACTCCAAAATTGGATATTCGGATTTTTGGTATTCCATCATGAAATAGGATCAATATTATTTTCTGTTGATTCGCTCAAATACTTAGTTAATTCACACAATATTAAAGAACATGTATCGGTTGTTAAATTATTAATAAAAGTAGCCGAGTTGGAATTTGTATTTCAGTTGTGGTAGTGTAAATTTCTTTAACCTAAATTTTTATAAAGTACCCTGCAACACAGTAAGGATGCCTCCTCAACATAGAAATCTGTTACACGGCCAACTTTATTTTTTCTAAACTCACCCGAATTAGGTAAATCAAAAAATAACCTAGTACTAAGTAACCTTATTTGTGATCCTATTTATCATGAATTCAAAGTACCTAATTTTTTTTTTAAAATTGATATAATTTTGTAGATGTACACTAACATAGCGTTTATATTAGAAAGCCATGCCTGATTTAGAAACAGAATTGTTAATTAGTCCTAAAGAAGATTTCGAAAGTAAAGTTTCTAATCCTATGATAGAGGAAGGAACAGACAATCATGATAAATTAAAGGTTGCAATTGATTTAATGGGTGATCACGCTGTTACTGGAGAACTTTTAAAACCGTTTGACAGCTTAATAAATGCTGTCATGGAATTAATAAGAAAGAACTATGGTTCATTTGAAGATGCACAATATAACAGAAAATTTTGTAACTGTTTACTTGATCGAATAGAATTCATTGAACAACCTATGAAAAACTTGAGAGCACGTAAAAATTTAATGATTCTACTTTTGATAGATCAAAATTATTACGATACTTTATTGTGTCTAATTGCAATTTTGAAAGAATCACAAAGATTAATCAACGAGATATCGTTTCTTTGGAACTTACGTAAATTTAGAGCCACTAATGATATTAAAATTCATTTTGAAAGAGTTACAGAAGAGTTTGATAAGGTTTTATCAAAGTTAAATTTGGAGAAACCTTTTGATTACGAAGCACAAAAAAAGAAAGATCTAAAGGCTATAGAATATGACATTTCAACAATGAATAAGGTAAATAAATACTCTTTTAATTTTTTTTTATTATAAAAAAGATTTTTTAATGTTTTTTTTTTCCAATTATTAGTTTCTTGAGAGTGTTGAAGGATCTTCGATAACATTACCGAATTCAAATATGGAAATTAATCCAATTTTTGAAACGGTTACATTGATCAAAGCACGTTTAACTGAAGTTAACCCAAATGAAATTACAATTAAACGGATTCCACCCAATGAATTAATAAGGATATACCATCATTTATGTCGAAAAAATGATCAACCTGGCGGTGGTGGTAATGTTAAAGTTAAAAGATGGTTGTGTGGTGAAAAGGGAAGTTTGGTTGCGTGTAAAAAATATGGAGAACAATCACAAAAATTTCAAAATAATCTTATTCTTCTTGACAAGCTCAACACCTGTCCAAACATTTTGAAGTTCTATGGACTTTCAATTGTTGATTGGGATCGTAGTTCACAAAATGTTCTAGTTTATGAATGGGCAGAAAGAGGAAATTTAAAAGTGTTATATGAAAAATTTGATATGAGCTGGCCTCTTAAATTAAAAATAGCAGTTGGTATATCTCGTGGACTTTTATTTTTGCATGGATGTGATATTATGCACTATGATTTAAGATGTGAAAATATCATGGAAAGTATTTATTTATTTATATGTAATCATTTCTAATAATTATTAATTTTAATAAATAAAATAAATAAATTGATTAATAATAATAATAATAAATATAACAGATTGATGAAAATTTTGAACCTAAAATCACAAATTTTCGATGTGTTCGTCCCTCACAACATAATCCAACTTTTGAACATTATTTTGATCCCATTGAACATTGGATAGCTCCAGAACGGTTGAAGAACGGAAAAAGATCGCATTACACATGCAAATGTGATATATTTAGGTAATGTTTACAAATACATGTGTGTGTATATATATATTATTATTTAATATTATTTTTTATTATTATTTATTTTTATAGTTTTGGAATGTTATTATGGGAACTTGCTTTTAACCGAATTCCATATAGAGGTTGGAATCTTTTACAAATATCTAAACATGTATTGGCAGGTTTTAGAGAAGTAATAGATTTTGGAAATGATCATAATATAATAGAACAATCATATTCTGGCATAATTAGAGCTGGTAAACATTAAAAAAAAATTTATTTGTCTATTATGTATATAGGTGATATGCACTAATGTTTTTCTTTTATTCCATCCCTCAAAAAAAAAAAAACAAAAAACTATAAAGCTTGGCAAAATGATCCATTATTACGACCATATCTTTATTTAATATTCTTAAAACTTGATGAATTATCTAAAGATAATCCAATTGAGGAAGGATCATCATTATCAGCTATGTTAAGATTTCAAAAATATGATGATAGTGATCAAGTGGTTGAAATAATTTATGATGATAATGAGGTGGAAACCAAAAACGAAGAAGAAATACTGCCAGTTAATAAAGATTCAAATCTTGATATTGTTCCTGTTGTAAGGTCAGTAATGAGTTTTGACGAAGGAGTTAAGGCTCATGAAAATGGTGATTTCATAAGAGCATGGGAATGTTTTAATTCTCATCATATGATAGATAATCTAGAAGCAACATATTGGGTAGGTCATTATTTATACGAGGGTTACCTTGGCGAAAAAAAAATTGATGAAGCAATCAGTCTTTATAAATTGGCAGCAGATCGAGGTGTTCCAAAAGCACAATATTCATATGCAAAATCTTTAATTGAAAACGATATTGATGCTAACGACGATAGTAATTCATTAAAATGTAAAGAAATTTTGGAATATTTAGAATTGGCTGCGCATGGTGGTATACCCTCTGCTATTTATATGCTGGGCGATATTTTTTTAAATGGAAAATATAATGTTGAAAAAGATGAAAATCTTGCTGTTCAATATTTAAAAATGGCTGCTTTGAAAAATAATCAAGACGCTACTGATTTATTAAAACAATTAAAAATCAAATTATTTTAAATATTTTTTATAGATATATATATCTATACTTGATGCTTATGTAAATATTATTTATTATAAAAAGTATTTATTTGGCACTTAATTTTGTATTACAATTATAAATTATCAATTATTTATTTTATTAATTTTATTAATATTTATACACATTTTCTTGTACAATTAAATATATAATTCTTCTTTCTGCTGGATATCTCAAATCTTACATTAGTTTACCAGTTAATCAAAAAATTAGTGCTTTGATACCCGTGGTAATTGCAGATTTGATCATAATAATATATATTTCCTTCAGGGAAATAAGATCAAGATTTTTTGCTTCTTTTACTACATGCTTTTCAAGGAATCTCTCAGAGTAAATAGTGCCAGTGTCATGATGATATAATGGTGGTATCTAAGAGGATTATCTATCTTTTCAAGGAAAGTTCAGCAACTTGTTTCTCGGGTCCAATACGAGGCCGTTTTTTTAACATGTGTTTCAAGATAAGCTCCTGTCGACATGGTTTTTCTGCTTCATAGATAATTTGATATTTTAATCTTCTCCAGCACTCTTTTGGAGGTTTTTAATCAACTTCAGCAAGATAGAAGGTTGCTCTTTTGTATGAAGTGAAATTAGTTTGAATATAATAAGATTCATAATTTAATGTTAATTTCCCCTCATCAAGAATTTTGTCAACATGTTTCAATAAATCTTTGAAATTTTATCGTATACAAGTTGCATTCCCTATTACGAGTCTTACATTCACCCATGTATTTTGTTTGATCATCAAGCCTTTTTTTTACTTTTCTTCTTCATAACTAACAACAGGCTCCATTTTAAGTCTAACGTTAGCTCTAACAGTATTTTCTCTGAAATTGTTAAATAAATAAATGTAGATAAAATGAATAAATCTGATTATTTAATCAAAGAATTAAGTTAAACGTTATATAATTAATTACTTAATGATTCTTGTACCTGTGCAGTATTTTGCATAAAACTGCCAATATATTTGAGTCGATGTAATCTTATCACAAGACCAGCAGGATAGAGGTGAAGCAAAGAAAATCGAATATATTGTAACTCATTCCAGGTTTGAGTTGTAATCCTTCGAAATAATTTAATCTTGATTTTTTCCGAGTTGATCGTCAAAGACTTGTCGCACAACGTGTTAGTAATACTTTCTGGTCACGAGATTGGGAAATCAAAATTTAATGATCGACAAACAAAGCTTAGTTGATTTTTTTTAACAATCTAAATTCGTAAATAACTTTTGATTCGAATGAGTTTCTTCTTTGCAAAGAATCTTTTATTAAATTTATTAAATTCGTGAAACAATTTCCTTTTGCGTGTGTGATTTTTTTAAATACAAATAAATAAATAAATTTTTGCTCAACGCAACGAATAAAACAAAAAATATTGATATAATAATAATATGACCGGCTAATGTTGATGCTCCGAACGAATATACAGATACCTCGAGTAACGTGTAAAGCCAAATAATACATAGGATTCCATTTCAGCACTACGTATTTCGACCCTCGAATTCGAATGCACATGTTTTTTTGGTCCAAGAGTGAGGGTAGCGGGTCTATTTATATGTTTTTATTGTAATTTATTAGACTGCTCGATCAATGCACCATCTGGCCATGAAATAGTCCATTTTTATTAAATATTGCATCATTGATCATGAATACATGATAGGATGCTGAGATTCTTCGCATCCAGTGCTAATTTTGATACTCCGAACGAATATATACGTATATGATTGAGTTATGTGATTTTATAATATTATGACACCAGGATATCATTGCGCTGTAATCCTAACCTGCATTTCACGAAACTTTCTGTTATGATTTCGTTTAAAAATTTGTTTATTTTATAAATATTTTAATAATAGTATATAATAGTGATAGATCCGTTGAAATGAGGTTTGACTGCAGATCATTTTCTTTGTCAACAATATCGTCTGGGACATTATTGTCGACATTATCTTCAGCATTTATCTATACCATCTTCAACATCAGTTATGACATCCACGTTACTATAATTTTGAGATGAATAAGGAGTGCTATGATTATATATTCGTGTAGTGTTATTCGATATTAAATTACTATTGGTTGTAACTTTGTATTATTAAAAAAATTCCTTAAAAAAACATTAGTTACAACATATGCAATGTTGTCTGCCACTTTAGATGACCCGTACATTCCCAGACGAAAATATAAATTTTGCTTATAAATAATACGAGGGCAACTTTTTAGTCAACTTCTGTTTATGACCGAATTTCGAGTTAGTCTTTTTAGCTACACTCGTCGATTAATTAATTTATTTTACGAAATTATCCTGCTTATTGTCTCTTTCTTGCTCCTGGAAAGCTTTATGGTACAATTAACAATGAATTACAATAAATAAAAACGGTCCTCAACAAATGCTCCTAGATTTCCATTTTTATTTACTTTTTCTTTGGCCAATTGAAATCAGCAGTACGTTTGCAACAATTACTTTAACACAATAATCAATATGTGGTAATGATTTTGGTCAATAACTGTTGGCACTTTGTATAGGTGGTCGGTCAGAAATAACTGTTGACACTTAATACTTTTGCCAATAAGCTTTAAAATTTTAACAAACAACAAAAACCAAAAATTAAACCTTTGCTTCACCAAACAAATAACCTAAGCCATTGCTTTCTACCAAAGCAAATAACCAAAACCTCGATGGGATAATTAAACCCTACTGTTTAATTTCCGACCACAAAAGTGTTTTGTCAAATTAATTCGTTTTATTAAATTGTGAAATGCTTATTTGTAAAAAAAAATAATTTTATATTAACTTTCTCCCTCTCTACTCTCAAGCAAGGTTCTGAATTATTAATAATTTCGTTTTGTCATTATTATAATAATTTTCTCAATCTTGGAACATTTCTTTAGATGCTGAATTATTCGAAATTTTTTTTTGTTTGGAAACCATTTTTCTTTGCCTCCTCCTCCTCTCTTAATTTTTCAACACGTGCTTTACAAAAAGTTTTGAATTGCACGATTTAATTTAATATTGATTCTAATAATATGGTGACAAAGGCATTTACTCACGTTAACTTGTGGCTTGTACTACTATTGGTAGTCCCGGACGTCCGGGACATGTCCGCGTCCTCTCAACATTAGGCGGAAATGTCCCGTGTACAACACCGAGCATATTAATATGTATGGCCAATCGCCCTTTGCCGAGAATATATTATATTAGACATAACAAATACACATAAATTCTTGAACGCTCTTTACACATTAAAATAAATATGAATTATATGATCCAATTGTCCTCTACCAAGAAGCATGTATCATATAAAAAATTCAAAGACTTGGTTATATTTATATACTGAGTAACTAAATGATCATCATTGAAAATTTTCCCTTCGATAATTAAAAGATAGAGTACGTTTGTTCACACCTTTTGCAATAAAACACCATTAATGGTTCTTTGCTCATCTCCTACAAAGGTCAAGTTTTCTGTAGCCGTCAAAAAGATATAAAAGGAATGCAAGTCGTTTTTAAAGAAGGCACCAGTTTTTCATCAAAATGTTTTTTAAAATTACAAACACGCGTTACATAATGGACATTCTAAACAAACCCTAATTGGGAATGCCCAATTTGGGAAATTTCATTATAAAAATATCGGACCAAAAAAATTTTCTTAAAATTTTATACGTGTAACAGTGTGAGCCATAATTAAATAATATTTAATCATAATGCTGCTTGTTCAGAAATATTATATCTTGTTGCAAGTTGTACAAGGTTCATTTCTTTTGTCCACAAATTTTTTCTTTATTTAGAATATAGAGTTGATTTTACCAAATTAAGTAACAGATGATTGATTTTTACTTAAGTTGGTAAGATTACATTACTATAATCAGTCTAAATCACAATATTAATAGTCTTCATTTATAACTAAAAAGCGAATTTTATTAATTTGTGGATCTCAAAATTTTTTAAATATTGTTCTTGTAATTACTCCATTGTAACCGTATCAAGACCATTACACTTGTATCGAGTTCACTGTGTACAATGTATTTATCAATTATGTAGTATAAATAAATAAACATTGTTACGATGCGGGTCACTCTAACAATCAAATGCCTTTAAACTAAATAGGGAATATTGAGATAAGATTCGATAGCTGTTGGGACAATAAACTAAATGTTTCGAATTTGTGAAATTTTTATATGTAACATATAAAAACATACGATTTTTAAAGCAAATAGCCCTGAAATCAGTAATTTTTTTTAAATTACCTCGACGATGAATTGTAGAACTAGTCAATCAATTACCTCGACGATGAATTGTAGAACTAGTCAATCAATTTGCACCTAATAGTAAAACTCTAATTGATAATTATATTTCTTTAACAGAGTGAAAGTTACTATTTAATTTCCTTCGCTTCTAGTAAAAGTCCAAGAAAACTAACACCACCAGATGTTAAAGGTAAAAACTACTTTTTTTTTTCTTATTTTACGTACAACTATCGAAGATGCCCTAGACAATCTGGAAATACCAAAAAACGATCCATTTGATTATCGGGAATTTATTTACAGATAGTGGATATTACTTCAAGGCTCGAACATTTTAAACCATTACAATTATTTTTATATCCTAGCATTACATAAGTCCATTACGCTTCAAGGATATGATGTCGCAATTAAAATTTCGCATGGCCTGGAATTTATTAATTGCATTGTTGTCAAGAGACTGTTAAAGCCTCTCGCTTATCTGAAGCCTATGAACTTGTAGATTTCCTCGCCCGCAGAAAAAATTCTATAGTTATAAAGTGTGAAAGAACACTGATTGCATGTTTGTAGAAGGAAAATTTTATTAAATCACCAATATCAGCTTTACTTTTTCGAAAATGATTTTTTAAAAAGCTCTACAGCTTGTGATTAATTGTATACAATTGGAAGGAAAATTAATTTTCGGAAATTATTTATTATTTATTTATTATTTATTTATTATTTATTATTTATTTATTTATTATTTATTTATTATTTATTTATTTATTTATTTTTATTTATTTATTTATTTATCATTTAATGGTATTATTATTACTTGGGTAATACAATTTATTTATTATGAACATTGAAATTGACAATGGTGATTCATCTAATAAAAATTTACCAGAGCAGTTGCACATGAAGAAAATATTTGAATCCGAGTGTTACCTATCTTTGGTCATTCTGGCGCAAATTTATTATTTTTTGCCAATAATTAATTATTAGTTACTATCAATATCATTATTTTCTCCTTCCTTTATGCTAATCTGTTTCTGAGTTGCTTCTATTATTCTTTTCCTAGGATCGGTACAAGATTTTTATGGTAAAATCAGCAATTCCTGAAATACATGGAGAAGTAAAGTTGCCATTTTATTAAATGAAAACTCGGGCTCTTTATTTGTTTGTTCTTTATTCTTTTATAGAAGTGGTTCTTTGTAGGTTGTCGTGATGAAGCAAATAGTCAATCAATAATCTATAAAAGAATTCATCTGCAAAGGCATGCATTTTATTTCAAACTTATCCATCCTCCCTGTAGCAACATGCTCCACATAAGGGTAAATACTTCAAGCATTATGTAAACAGGGCCTGATATGTATGTATACGTCACGATTTCCAATTTTTGTGACAGACAAAAGTGAGTTACACGTTAGTTAATTCTGTCATTTATTAGTTTTGTCAACATTGATAAATTTCTCATTCTCGTGCATTTATTTGCTCACCAATAAACTCTCTCTTTTATTGACCCAAAAATATTTTTTTGAAACATCATGTATGAAACATTCATAGATACCAACTTTAATTCTTTCATTTAAACTTGGTTTCATTAATTTCCAAAAAAAAATGATTGTTTCACACATTTATTTATTATATATACGTTTTATTTATTCTTTCCAATCAAACTAATTAATAAAAATCAAAACCAAAATCAAAAATAATAAATAAATGTTTAACACAAAAAATTCGTTGCTAAGAAAGCAAACGAGAAAATTCTCATCCAAAAGAGGAAACAGTTTAAGAAGAACTTTAACTCCTATCACAAAAAATCAATATAAGAGGGACCTAGCTCAAACTGTGACTTTAGAAGAAGTTCACCTAATTGTTAAAAGATGTGCAGATAAAATACGTGAAAGAGGTTAGTTAAGTTCTTTATTTTTATCCATTTATGTTTGATCAACAACTAATCAATTATTTATACAAACGACAACTTTTTACATAAAGGTTTACATGTTGTGGATATATTTAAGCCGATGCGCATTGGCGATAACGTTGATGATGTCAGAAAACTTATCAGTTGTTTATTACGCGAAACACGTGCACAATGTGACAAAGAACTTGAAAAGTTGGATATTCATATTATAGTCTCTGCTATGAAATGGGCTTTAAGACATTGTGTTACAACTATTGTCCCATATCAATTCTACGAAGAATTTGTAATATTTGAACAAGGTAATAATAATAATAATAAATAATACATACATGAAGGTTATATAAACTGTAAAATATTAAATATTAACAAAATTAATGATTTTCTTTTTTAATTATAGAATCTGATTTTGATCCAGATAAAGGTTCATTCAAACAATTTCTATGCTATCTACCAAAACAAAACAGAGATATACTTGTTGAATTGTTTGATATTTGTGCACAGGTAACTGCTGAATCACACATAAACAATATGCCAGTTGAACGCTTAGTTAAGACATTGGCCCTTTGTATTCTGGGTGATAAAGATAAACCACTTGAAGGTTTTGAAGGAGCCTATAACGAGTGGACAAAATGCTCTCAAGCTTGTCTACACTTATTCCTGGCTTATCTTCGTGAGAAAGCTGTCTCTACTGAATTAAACCCACGTCTCACTGTCTTGATAGACAATTATGTTGAATATAGAAAAAAATCTGTTACATCCGTGTACTTTAAAGCTTCTAATAGTAATGATAGAGATGATGGCAATGATGATAACAATATACAACAACCAGAAACTTCGAACAATAAACCTAAAATATTTAATAGGCCCAGAAACAGATCCATAGTTACTTTTGCTGAAAAAACTACTGAATTCAAAACGTCAGAGGAATTTTCACTTTCATTAATGAATAATAACAACAACAACAATGATGATGATGATGATAATAATAATAATAATAAAGGTGATGATAATAACAATGGCTTTACTAAAAATTATTCTGAGAACAGGCCTGTAAGCATATTAAAAGTAATAAGAGAAGTGCCAGCAAGAAAATCAGAAGTTAACCAACAAACGCGTAGCTTTACTACACTACTTCCTAATATTATGGGTAATATAAAACGTAAAACAATAATAAAATCTAGTACAATTATGACAACTGCGGAGAAAAAATCAGCTGAGGAAATGTGGGAAGAATTTCAGGATAAAGGCATTGGAGCATTATCCGACGATTTTATCAAACTTTTTTTTTCATTAGAATCTCGTGCTGCAGAAGTTAAACAATTTCCAAGTCGTACTGAAAAACAATGGGGTTCTTTTAGTAAAAAAGGGTTTCAAAGTATATACATGGAGCCTTTGTCAGAAACCAAAAATAATGAAAAAAAATCTTTATTAGTAAAAACTTCATCTTCAATGAAAAATACTAATAATGATAATGAAGATGGTTCTTCAAATGATCTTGTCAGAAATGATTCTTTAAGACAAACAGTTGCTTGGGATAGTTTTTCTGAAAAAGGTTTTGAAGAATCAGATGTTTTATCTTTAGTTTCATCACTTGGTCCACCAGGAACTTTAGTCAGGAAAAATGATGTTGATAAGGAAAATTATAATGATGGCGGTGATGATGGTAACAAACAATCCTTTGGGAATGTAAAAAAATCTATATTACGTGGTGGTAGCTTAACAAGTAATTTTGGAGGTAAAAAGAAATTTGTTAAGTTTCGTTCATTAAGAAGAACTAGATCTCTTAGTCCAATCAAAAAGTTAATTGCTTTAGATTTAGAAGAAGATTGGGAGGATTGGGGTATCATTGATAGAAGAGAGGATTTGCCTATTACAACTCATTTGGCAATTGAAACAATTGATGAAATCTTTCCTTATGTATGGATGGAAACAACTGTTGAAGATGAGGGTGATAAATGGGGCGATTGGATATTCATTGAACCAAGAAATGGTTTAATACACGAGTGTGAATGGGTGATGATTGAGGAGAAGGCTCAGGTTTCCTTAGAATGGGAGAAATCTTTTTCATATTCAAAAAGAAGAAAATTGAGTGCTTTAAGTACATTTAGTATACCATGGGTTAGACCTGGTGCTGTTGGTAAAAAATCAAGACCTGCCAGTAAAGCAAGTACTAGATTTTCAATGGCCTCAACAATTAAAAGACCCGTACCTGCGATAATGGCAATGTTTGATAGATCAAGACCTGATGATCAAGTGTTTGCCACAAATTACAAGTTTCCACCAAATGCGATTAAAAAATATAAAAAAGAAGAAAATGAGTCTGAGGAAATTAGTGTTTCACGCAGGATACACAATAATGATGATTCAATTGTTGTACAATTCGAAGCTACAAAAACCAAACATTCTCAAGTTCAATACACATATAAAGAAGGGGATTACAATGAAGAAAATGGTTATTATGATGATGAGTATTATGAAGATTATGATAATAATGTTGATGGGTATTTATCAGATCCTGAATATTATCACAATAACAGTTACAATAATAATAATAGTTATTATTATAATAACTATGAAGAACAAATGGGTTATGAAGAAGGTTATGAAGAACAAATGGGTTATGAAGAAGGTTATGAAGAACAAATGGGTTATGAAGAAGGTTACGAAGGCGGCTATGAAGAAGGTTATGAAAAAGAAAATTATAGTGAAGGTGATTGGGAGGGAGATGAATATGCATACTCATCAGCAAAAAATTCACAATATTCAGAAAATGATTATATTAATCAATATTCACAAAACGATATACCACAACTACCTTCAACTACAAAAGGATACAATAACTTTGCTCAAAGACAAATGATGAAACAAGGTAAATTAGTACCATCACAATATCAGCAACAATATCAACAACCATTGTCAACTAGAGATAGCAACTATAATGATGATGGTGAAGGCGAAGGTGAAGATGAAATCATTGTGGAAGAGAATGCTGATGACATGGAACCACAAATAGTTAATCCAAAATTATTCCCAATGACAGGATTTTATCAACCTTTAGAAACTAAAAATAAAAAAAAAATAAACAAAAAGACAAAATTTAAATTTTAAATTATAAATAATCACCACAAAAAGGAGAGATTGATTTTAATAATAAACTTATTTGCATTCATATACATTATTTTTTTATATTTTTTTCTCATTAAGCATACATACACACACATTACACATACACATATACATATACATATACATATACATATATATATTAATACATTATTTATACTTTATCATAATAGTTAATTATAATATAGTAGATATTATTAATAGAATATTTATTAAGATATTGTAGGACAATATTCTTTTCATTAGTCAATAAATTTTTAAAAATTTTTTTTAATGATTTAACCTGTGTTAATTATTTTATTTATAACTTTGCAAAAATCATCTGCAAATTTTGTCTAATTTTTCTATGAAGGAATTGTTGCAATAGTTCAAGGAGAAGAAGCAATTGATGATTCGTTACTGAATTTATGGTAACTAACTATCAATATTTTTTTATTTTAATAAACATTTTCCCACTCATTCTATTTTATTTCATTCTATGTAATTTTATTGGACGGAATAATGTAAAAAGTCATGTTATCTGTAATACTCCAAGTATTTAATTAAACCATTAGAAATTGCTCGAGTTAAAAAAATAATCTTTGAATAAACAACTAATAATATCATTAATTTTTGCATAGTTAAAGAGGGAGAGCCCTCACGAATTGTTCCCATGATCCTTTCTGATTGTTAATGATCTGTCCAACATTTAATTATTAGTTAGGAACCCTTTTGATTGTGCTGTGTTGCTTGTGGGGACGCCTCAAGTGGCATAGTTGTATATAAGTCTGTAATTTATTCAATGATTGATAGCTAGCTTTATAGAGGTATATATTGGGTTTGGAGCCAGAACAATATATATATTTAGGGTAAAGTCAGATTGTATCTGACCGGAGGGGGTCTGAAGAATATAATAGGTCATTATATTGGGCTTGGAGCCAGAAAAATATAATGTGGAAATGCTCAGAGGCTGGTAAATCTTTTGATGGTGATAAGGGGACAAAACTTCTCTATGAACGAGGTATAAAGGCTTTGAAGATGATGAAAGATATGTTCCAGTCTCTATGTTTAGCTGTTGGGATGGAAGAAGAAAAAAAAAAATAAGAAAATTGCAATCAATTGGTTTTATACATGTGGGTAGGTTTGGTGGAAGGATTTTTTTCACATTGTTTAGTTTATTAACTCATCAAATAATTCACTGTGAAGGAAATTTAGGTCTGATGATACTGTTACTCAGATTGGATTCTCCCGCTGGCTATGTATGTCGAATACTTCGGATCAGGGTTGGCAAATTGACTGGTCCATTGAGATTAAATATAGTTGAAATGTTACACTAATGTACCCAATGGACTACACATTTGCCAACTCTGAATCATAGTTTAACAGGAAATTTTATTGGTAAAAACGAATTTCAATGATGCAATTAATCAAACTTAATGATAGTAAATAATACGGTTTTTACACATTTACAAACTATTTTTTTAAACAAGATGTCTAGCAGTAGAGATAATACTGAAAGTCGAGATGAAATTCCACTACCTTTTATGCGTCGACCGATGCCATTATTAAACATGCGTTTTAACACAGATAACAATGGCGATTCTCCAAGAAATACTCCCACTCTTAGAGAAATTAAATCAATAGTCTCAAAAATCACTAACAATGTGGATGTACAAACAGACACATTAACTAGATTTTCAAATTTTTTGGCAAATCCTGATATATCTTTGATTGAAGGATGGAATTACAATTTAATTATTCGTAAACTTGCTACAATATTGACTAGAAGAACTCCGCCTCCCCAACTATCAGACTTGTCAGCCTATGGCACAGAAATTGATATTGCGACTTTACAAGCAATACTTGGAATAGCAGATCCTGATAATTCTCACATAAAAAGAATAACAATAGCATGTAAATGTATGTGCAATTTGACAATTCTCTTGGATAATAATGCTGAACAATATATCGGTAATGCAGTGAGAGAAGTTGCCATTCCAAATTTATGTCAATTAATCAAAGAGCCTTTATCAAATGATTTGGATTATCTAAATGATATCATAGCGGTATATTGTAATTTCTAGTTGAATTGATTATATATTTCATCAAAAAAGTTTTTTTGCTCAAGTATTTATATATATGTATATTTATATATATATATATATACTATTGTTTTTATAGGCTTTAATACAATTTTCTATACCAAATAGAGTTGATTGTATTGAATTGATTTTACAAACAGATATCATTCGACATTTAATGGAAAATATATTTGAATTTATGTCTGACAATGATCGAGCATTACCAATTTGGCTAATGGCACATTGTTGCAGAAACTCTATAAACCTTCCG